AGCACACAGCAACAGTTCCGCCCCCTCCTTCTCCGCCTCTTCAAAATTCTCTCTTCTCAGTTCCTCTTACCCTTTCCCCTTTTCCCCCATCCCCTCCTCGCTCACCCCCCTTCCTCCAGGGACACCAAGCACGCGCTGCTAGGAGCACACAGCATCAGCTCCGCCCCCTCCTCCCTCTCCCAAGCGCTCCTCTCTCAAGCGTCTCACCAGCACTCTATCGCTCTCCTCCTGCCCTGCCCCTCCCCCCTCCCCTCATGCCCCCAGGGACACCAAGCACGCGCTGCTAGGAGCACACAGCATCACTCCGCCCCCTCCTCCTCCGCCTCTTCAACATTCTCTCTTCTCAGTTCCTTTTACCGTTTCCCCTTTCCCCCTCTCTTCCTCGCCCCCATGCCCCCAGGGACACCAAGCACGCCCTGCTAGGAGCGCACAGCATCAGCTCCGCCTCCTCCTCCGCCTCCTCTTCCAGGCGCTCCTCTCTCAAGCGTCTCACCAGCACGCCTGTCAACACCAACCGCCGCTCCCTCGTGCTCCCCACCCGCCGCCTCCTCTGCTTCCAGCTTGCCTCTGTGGTGGCGGGGCGTATTCTCACTTTCTCCTCCCCTTCCTTCTCCCCTCTCCTCTTCCCCTTCCCCCGCCCCTCCCCCTCCACCCCCCCATTCCCCCAGGGACACCAAGCACGCGCTGCTAGGAGCGCACAGCATCAGCTCCGCCTCCTCCTCCGCCTCCTCTTCCAGGCGCTCCTCTCTCAAGCGTCTCACCAGCACGCCTGTCAACACCAACCGCCGCTCCCTCGTGCTCCCCGCCTCCTCCGTTTCCGCCACCTACCCTTCCCCTTCCCCCCCCGTCTCCGTAGCCCCGGCCAGCTCTGTTTCTGCTAACTACTCTTCCTCCCGTTCGTCCCCTCACGCCTCCCCTTCCCCCTCCCCGACCGCTGCTGCCACTGGGGGCGGGGGTGGTGCTGCTGCTGCTGCCAAACCCCCTTCTCCTTCAGCTGCTGCTGCTGCCAAGCCGCCTGTTTCTCCTTCTGCTGCCGCTGCTGCTGCAGGGGGTGGTGCTGCAGGGGCAGGAGGAGAAGCAGCAGCAGCAGCAGCAGCAGTCGAACCAGTAACCAGCAGCATCAGCTACAGCAGCAGCGGCGGCGGTGTGGCCCTATGGTCCTACGCCCAGCTCCTAGACATGATATGCGAGCACCAGTCAGACGAGCTCCCTGACTGGCATGATATGGCAACAGGCATGGTGGAAGGGTTGTGGGCGGCTATAGAGGCCAAGGCGCCTCTGGTGGCTTCTGCAGTGGCGGATTCGGGGGATGGGGGGGATGTGGGGAAGAAGAAGGAAGAGGAGGAGAAGAAGGCGAAGAAAAAGAGTGGGTTTTTTAAGCTGGGGGGTGGGAAAGAGGGGAAGGAGAAAGGGGATGGAGGCGGGAAGGCTGGTGGCGGCGGCGGGGGTAAAGGGGGGAAGGTATCGGTTCAGGAGATCTTGAGGGGGTTATATCTGTTCAACAATGCGGCCTACATTCAATCGTGAGTGGGGTTTTTGCTAGGTGAGGTTCTTATCGACTGGTGATGGTTGGGGAGAGGGGGTGGTGGTGGTAGAGGGGGGGGGGGGAGGTTTCGGTTCAGGAGATTGTGAGAGGGCTTTATCTGTTCAACAACGCGGCCTACATTCAATCGTGAGAGGAGATTCAGATAAGCTCGTCTGCTGCTGGTGGGGGTGCGAAGGGCGGTGGAGGGGGGAAAGGAGGGAAGGTTTCGGTCCAAGAAGTCTTGAGAGGGCTATATTTATTCAACAACGCGGCCTACATTCAATCGTGAGTGGAGGCGCTTTTCCCCCAATTCTTGTTTCGTTAACCTATGTGTGTGTGCGTGCACGCATTCAGACACTTCTTGTTGTGCCATTCAGACACTTCTTGTTGTGCCATTCAGACACTTCTTGTTGTGCCATTCAGACACTTCTTGTTGTGGCATTCAGACACTTCTTGTTGTGGCATTCAGACACTTCTTGTTGTGCCATTCAGACACTTCTTGTTGTGCCATTCAGACACTTCTTGTTGTGGCATTCAGACACTTCTTGTTGTGGCATTCAGACACTTGTTGTTGTGCCATTCAGACACTTCTTGTTGTGCCATTCAGACACTTCTTGTTGTGCCATTCAGACACTTCTTGTTGTGGCATTCAGACACTTCTTGTTGTGGCATTCAGACACTTCTTGTTGTGGCATTCAGACACTTCTTGTTGTGGCATTCAGACACTTCTTGTTGTGCCATTCAGACACTTCTTGTTGTGCCATTCAGACACTTCTTGTTGTGGCATTCAGACACTTCTTGTTGTGTCATTCAGACACTTCTTGTTGTGCCATTCAGACACTTCTTGTTGTGGCATTCAGACACTTCTTGTTGTGGCATTCAGACACTTCTTGTTGTGGCATTCAGACACTTCTTGTTGTGCCATTCAGACACTTCTTGTTGTGCCATTCAGACACTTCTTGTTGTGCCATTCAGACACTTCTTGTTGTGTCATTCAGACACTTCTTGTTGTGCCATTCAGACACTTCTTGTTGTGCCATTCAGACACTTCTTGTTGTGGCATTCAGACACTTCTTGTTGTGCCATTCAGACACTTCTTGTTGTGGCATTCAGACACTTCTTGTTGTGGCATTCAGACACTTCTTGTTGTGCCATTCAGACACTTCTTGTTGTGTCATTCAGACACTTCTTGTTGTGCCATTCAGACACTTCTTGTTGTGCCATTCAGACACTTCTTGTTGTGGCATTCAGACACTTCTTGTTGTGCCATTCAGACACTTCTTGTTGTGCCATTCAGACACTTCTTGTTGTGCCATTCAGACACTTCTTGTTGTGGCATTCAGACACTTCTTGTTGTGCCATTCAGACACTTCTTGTTGTGCCATTCAGACACTTCTTGTTGTGCCATTCAGACACTTCTTGTTGTGCCATTCAGACACTTCTTGTTGTGTCATTCAGACACTTCTTGTTGTGGCATTCAGACACTTCTTGTTGTGCCATTCAGACACTTCTTGTTGTGCCATTCAGACACTTCTTGTTGTGCCATTCAGACACTTCTTGTTGTGGCATTCAGACACTTCTTGTTGTGCCATTCAGACACTTCTTGTTGTGGCATTCAGACACTTCTTGTTGTGCCATTCAGACACTTCTTGTTGTGCCATTCAGACACTTCTTGTTGTGCCATTCAGACACTTCTTGTTGTGCCATTCAGACACTTCTTGTTGTGCCATTCAGACACTTCTTGTTGTGCCATTCAGACACTTCTTGTTGTGGCATTCAGACACTTCTTGTTGTGCCATTCAGACACTTCTTGTTGTGCCATTCAGACACTTCTTGTTGTGGCATTCAGACACTTCTTGTTGTGCCATTCAGACACTTCTTGTTGTGCCATTCAGACACTTCTTGTTGTGCCATTCAGACACTTCTTGTTGTGGCATTCAGACACTTCTTGTTGTGCCATTCAGACACTTCTTGTTGTGCCATTCAGACACTTCTTGTTGTGCCATTCAGACACTTCTTGTTGTGGCATTCAGACACTTCTTGTTGTGGCATTCAGACACTTCTTGTTGTGCCATTCAGACACTTCTTGTTGTGTCATTCAGACACTTCTTGTTGTGCCATTCAGACACTTCTTGTTGTGGCATTCAGACACTTCTTGTTGTGCCATTCAGACACTTCTTGTTGTGCCATTCAGACACTTCTTGTTGTGCCATTCAGACACTTCTTGTTGTGCCATTCAGACACTTCTTGTTGTGGCATTCAGACACTTCTTGTTGTGGCATTCAGACACTTCTTGTTGTGCCATTCAGACACTTCTTGTTGTGGCATTCAGACACTTCTTGTTGTGGCATTCAGACACTTCTTGTTGTGCCATTCAGACACTTCTTGTTGTGCCATTCAGACACTTCTTGTTGTGCCATTCAGACACTTCTTGTTGTGCCATTCAGACACTTCTTGTTGTGGCATTCAGACACTTCTTGTTGTGCCATTCAGACACTTCTTGTTGTGTCATTCAGACACTTCTTGTTGTGCCATTCAGACACTCGGATCGTGCCATGCCCCTCAATCCCTCCCATGCCCGTTTATTTTCGAGGCGCCTCAAAACTAGACTTCAATCGTGAGTGGAGGTGCTTTTCCCCCAATTCTTGTTTCGTTAACCTGTGTGTCATTCAAACTTTCTCATTGTGCCATGCCCCTCAATCCCTCCCATGCCGTTTCAGCGCCCCCCTTCCTCTCCCCACCTCCCCACCCCCTCTCTTCTTGCAATCTTTTCTGTTCCCCGACCTGCGTATGTCAAAGGAGTATCGGCAGCTGGCAGACATTCAGATGAACCGCTTCCTTCCTCCCCTCTATTCATGCCTGGTATTCGTATCTCCCCCACCACTCCCCCTCCTCTCTCATCCCTCCCACTCTTTGCAGCCTGTTCCCTGACCTGCGTATGTCAAAGGAGTATCGCCAGCTGACAGACAGACACTCAGCTTGACTCACCTTTCCCCTCTCCTCCCCCCCCTCGCTTGCAGTCTGTTCCCCGACCTACGTATGTCGAAGGAGTATCGGCAGCTGGCAGACACTCAGCTTGACCCGTTCACATCATCCCTCTAACTCATTCCCCCATTTCCCACCACTTCCCCATTGCCCCCTTCCCCCCCTCCCCCCCTCGCTTGCAGTCTGTTCCCCGACCTACGTATGTCGAAGGAGTATCGGCAGCTCGCAGACACTCAGATGAGCCGCTTCCTGGATGTGCTGCTGAAAGATGTGAGCGGGATGGGTGGGGTGGGTTTCGGAGGAGTTTGGCAGGATGTGCAAGAGGTGGGGTGGGATATGAAGAGGTGGGGGGGTTTGGGGTGGCAGCTGGTAGACTCTCAGATGAGCCGCTTTCTAGACGCGCTGCTGAAAGATGTGAGCGGGATGGGAGTGGGTGGCAGTGGGTGGGATAAGAGAAACGGTTGGGATCGGTTGGAGGGCCGTTGAGTTGACTCAACTGGCAGACACGCAGATGAACCGCTTCCTAGACGTGCCTGCCAGCTGAGCGAGATGAATCGTGCTGCTGAATGATGTGAGCAGGATGGGAGTGGGAAGGGGGGTGGTTATGAGTGGTGTTGCAGGATGTGAACAGGGGTGGGTGGGATGTGAAGTGGTCGGTTGGGAGGAGTGCGGTGGGTTTGGAAGGAGTGCGGATGATATGAGAGGGATGGGAAAAGGAGGGTTGGGAGGGAGTGGGATGGGAGGGAGAGGGATGGAAGGGAAGGATGGGAGGGAGAAGGATGGGAGGGAGAGGGATGGGAGGAAGGGATGGGAGGATTAGGAGGGATGGGAGGAATTAGGATGGGAGGAATATGGATGGGAGGAATAGGGATGGGAGGAATTAGGATGGGAGGAATAGGGATGGGAGGAATTAGGATGGGAGGAATAGGGATGGGAGGAAATACGATGGGGGGAATAGGGGTAGGAGGAATTAGGATGGGAGGAATAGGGATGGGAGGAATTAGGATGGGAGGAATTAGGATGGGAGGAATAGGGATGGGAGGGATTAGGATGGGAGGAATAGGGATGAAAGGAATGAGGATGGGAGGAATAGGGATGGAAGGAATTAGGATGGGAGGAATTAGGATGGGAGGAATAGGGATGGGAGGAATTAGGATGGGAGGAATAGGGATGGGAGGAATAGGGATGGGAGGAATTAGGATGGGAGGAATAGGGATGGGAGGAATAGGGATGGGAGGAATTAGGATGGGAGGAATAGGATAGGGTTGACTTCTCTGTGCAATCTTGCAGGGCTGTTTGTGTTTTGAGTCGACTCAAAAGGGCGGTTTGTCAGGGCTGATACCACTCTCTCTCCCTCTCCCTGATGTCCTTTCCCTCTTCACCCCTTCGCCCCACATCCCCTCCCCATGCACAGATGATGGAGTAAATAGGTGCACCCACCTCGGGCATATCTCCAACCTCTCGCTTACATCCCCCCCTGCAGCGTCATCAAATCTCTCTCTCCCCACATCCCCTCCCCGTGCACAGATGATGGGGTCAATAGGTGCACCCACCACGGGCATTCCTCCTGCCGAGTTCCAGAAAAGGTAGGATGAGAAGATGGGATGAATTGTGATGGGGTGGGATGAAGGTGGGATGGGTTCAGTGGGTTCATGCATAGTCTTTGTCAAAAAAAAAAAAAAAAAAAAAAAAAAAAAAAAAAAAAAACCTTTCCATTTCTTTTTATCTCTCCCCTGCCAAGGTCGCAGGTGAAAAAAACACCCCTTCTGCGCATGTTAACCCCCCTTTACCCTCCCTTCTCCCCCTTCTACACCCCCCAGACTGGATGCATTCAACGTGGCATTTGAGGAGCTCTGTTTCAACATGCGCCGATTCCACGTGCACGACTCGGTGGCGCGCACTCAGATCCGTGGCGTGTGTCACGAGCGAATCCTCTCCTCCTACAAGGAGTTCCTCATGCCCTTCAGGTAACATGCCCTTCAGGTGACCCAATTCCCCTTCCAGGTAACCTGTCTGTGCTGTTTCCCTCCCCCCTTCAACCCTCCCCTCTCTCCTGTGTCACAAGCGCATCCTCTCCTCCTATAAAGAGTTTCTCATGCCCCTTCAGGTAACCTTCCCTTCAGGTGCGCCCCTCCCCCCTCCCCACACACCTCTCTTCCTCTCTTCCTCTCCCTCGCAACGTGTGTCACGAGCGCATCCTCTCCTCCTATAAGGACTTCCTCATGCCCTTCAGGTAACCCAATTCCCCTTTCAGGTAACCTGTCTGTGCTGTTTCAACACCTTCAACCCTCCCCTCCTTCAACCCTTCCCTCTCTGCTGTGTCACGAGCGCATCCTCTCCTCCTATCAGGACTTCCTCATGCCCTTCAGGTAAGCCCCCTTCAGGTAAGCCCTTCCCCCTTCAGGTAGCGTGTCTCTGTTGTTTCTTCCCTCCCTCCGCGGCGTGTGCCACGAGCGAATCCTCTCCACCTATAAGAACTTCCTCATGCCCTTCAGGTGCTCCTCCCCTCTCTTCCTCTCTTCCTCTCCCCTCTGCTGTGTCACGAGCGCATCCTCTCCTCCTACAAGGACTTCCTCATGCCCTTCAGCAGTTCCAAGAGAGTGAAACGCTTGGTATCGTCCTTCCCCTGCATCTCCTGCTGCCAATCCCTTCATTCCAGGGAGGACCTAGTGGGTTTCCCAGAGTATCGCTGGTCTGTCAGCAGTGCCAAGCGAGTCATGCAGAATTTCTTCATATAGGCGCCTCTCTGCCAAGCGCAATATATGTCTACAAGCATACAATTATTTATGTTATGCATCATTTGCTTACATCTAGTTTCTGGTTGGTGTTATCCATTCCTAACAACCGAAGTTGCCCGTCAAATCTTTACCTACTGGTACCGTATGTTCGACTGGTTTAGCAGCCACTGTAATCAGTTGTAGATTTGCAAATGCAGGAACAGCGTGGCATGTTCAAGGATCACTGGCCAGTCAAAATATTGTTGGTGCTGTACTGTAGCTCTGCATTAATGGCCTTCAAGTTTAGCTCCTTTTTGGTGTGTGGGAAGGTCAGTTGTTCCAGATACACATTTAGTATAGCCTTATGCTGCTCCGACTACAGTGAGTTTCATTCGCGACACTCAAAAACGGTGCATTTACTATACTTCGCGATACAAGTTCGCTCGACTCGTTATACGGACAATGATTGCAACGCTAATTCGCCGTGCCACTTCAATACATAAACGTTCAGTTTGCGTTTTGCTACAAAGTTGCCCTTCGTGCGATGTGAGTCAATTCGTTCGAAGGGTCACCCCTGCTGGTCGCTCACACGTGGAGGGTGCAGGCGGATGGTCAGACGTCTCGCGCTCCGCGTTTAATGCCTTCCAGCATGCGCCGCGCTTGTTTTCGGATGGCGGGAGCCGTTTTTTCGGCCCGCAGCGTCCGCTTCGGCGTCGTTTCCAGCCTGCCGTAGCGACATTCCTAGAGTGTCGGCTGCTAGAGAATCGGCTGTTTGCTTGCATTTCATCCATGAGCAGCAGTACCAGCAACAACAACCGATACAGGCCGGATTCGGTTTCGCAAGCGCAATATCTCAAACGAAACAACGTATGTCGATTTCATTTGATAGAAGTGTTGTTTTGAGTCGTCTCAAACCAACTCTTTTATCAGAACGTATGTCGATTCGATCTGGCCGTCAGCTTTCGCGGCGTTCAATGGACGAAACAGTCGCGACTTTTGTGCCGACTCGAAACTCAATCGACAGCACCGCAGCGGATCGGATTCGCGTTCTGCCTTTTTCGGGTCCTGCATCGCTGCATAGCAGTGCCGAGTCCGGGCTTATAACGGGTACAGAAACTGAAATGCAGGTGGGAGGATCGGCAGGAAGGGAGGCCGGAGCGGAGGGAGGGAGGGAGAGGGGTCAAGGGTTGCGTGAAGGAAGAGAAGAACGAAAAGGAGCAGGAAAAGCAAAGGGATCAGGAGCAGGAGGAGGAGGAGAAGGAGAAGACGTGGTGATTGCGATCGGGGGCAACATCGGGAATCGCGTGGCGAATTTCCACCGAGCTTTGCAGATGTTGCGAGAGGTGCGTTGTGGTTGGGAGGGGTGCAGAGCAACTGCACTTGTGATAAGCAGAGGACAGGATGTGGTGATTGCGATCGGGGGGAGTTTCGGGAATCGCGTGGCGAATTTTCACCGCACGCTGACATTGTTGCGAGAGGTGCGTTGTGGTTGGGAGGGGTTCGTCAGGGTTTAGAGGGGTGCAGAGCACTGCACTTATGTGTGTGAGAGGGAGGGGACAGGATGTGGTGATTTCGATCGTCGAAAACATGGGGAATCGCATGGCGAATTTTCACCGCGTGCTGCAAATGGTGCGTTGCGGATGGCAGGGTGAATGGTATGGTATCGTGTCAGGGGTGCGAGGTGCATGCAAATGCATTGTCCTGTGAGGTTGGATTGTGTACTGATGTATTGTGAGGGGTGTAACCCAGTTTCCTCCCCTTTCCTGCTACCCTCTCTTCCCTTTCTCTCCTCCCTTTTTTCTCTTCGTTTGCTGCAGGCAGGGGTGCGGTTTTACAAACACCGCTGTTTGTGCGAGACACTGCAGGCAGTCATGCCTGCACCACACAGTTCCCTCCCCTTTTCTCCTCTCCCCTCGCCCCCTTCTCTTTCCTCCCCTTCAATCATTGCAGGCAGGGGTGCAGGTCTACAAGCACGGCTGTCTGTACGAGTCTGCTCCTGCCTATGTCACGGACCAGCCTTTTTTCCTCAACACGGCCATCCAGGTAAGTGAACGTGTGTGCCCTCCATGATAACAGCCGCGCGATAGGGAATCTGCCCCGCCCCTCCCTGCCTATGTCATAGCCACCCACCAGTCCCTCTTCCTCAACTCCGCCATCCAGGCAAGTGAACACGTTCCCTCACTCCCCACTTTTTTCCCCTCTTTCAACAGTTAAGTATCAGGGAGAGTGAGTGTGCTTCATTTCTGTTCCATCTATGCCTATGCCATCACCAGCCATTTATCTCCAGCTACACATGAACTGGCGGTGGCATATTATCGACTCAGAAGTCGCAGGGAGACTGCATGTGCCCCATTACTGTTCCACCTTCGCCTATGCCACAGGCCAGCCTTCTTTCCTCAACTATTTCGAAGAAAGAAGACTTATCACGTCCTGGTTTTCTACCTTTTTTCCCAGCCCTACAATGCAACCCACCCACTTCACTTAGCTGAAATTCCTATGAAGACCCATGGCTTGCTGCTGCGGTTCGGAACCGTTTCAACTCTGCAGTGGATGCCTATGCCACAGGCCAGCCTTCTTTCCTCAACCTGCTCACTACCCAGCGCTTCACACCCTGGTGACTTACCTCCCTAATCCACTGCAGGCACGCACAACACTCAACCCCCATGCGCTCCTCTCTCTCTCTCTCCTCTCTCTCCTCAACTAAATCAAGGAACCTCAACCCGCTCACTGCCCAGTGCTTCACCCGTCACTTCCAATTCACATCACCCTATTTTTCCCTCCCCCCTCTGCAGGCTCGCACAACCCTTCCTCCCCACGCGCTGCTCTCTCTCCTCAAGTCAATCAAGTCAACCCTCGGGAGGGACCTCAACCCACTCGCCAACCTACCTTCACCCTTGTAACTGACTTAATTCCCTCTCCTTCCCTCTCCTTCTCTCCTCCAAACCAGGCCCGCACGACCCTACCCCCCCACGCGCTGCTCTCTCTGCTCAAGTCAATCGAGTCAACCCTCGGGAGGGACCTCAACCCTCTTACCGCCCAGCGCTTCGGCCCCCGGCCCTTAGATCTCGATTTGATCTGCTACGGACCTAGAACCATCCGGCCAGACGAAACCGCTCCTGCTGCTGCTGGTGCTGCCGGTTCTGCTGCCCCTGCTGCTCCTCCTCCTCCTCCTCCTGTTGCTGCTGGTTCCGCTTTTCCAGCTGCTCCTGCTCCCCCTGCGGCTCCTGCCCCCCCTGCGGCTCCTGCTGCTGCAGCTACCCGCACCCCGTTTGATCTCGAGGTTCCACACCCGCGCGTAGCAGAGAGGCTCTTTGTGCTCGCGCCAGTGATCGATCTATTGGGGTCGGCTCAAGCTGGGGGCGAAGAGGAGACACCCTCTTGGGTGTTTCACCAGGCGTTTGGGAAGGATGGAGTGCTGGGGTAAGTTTATTAATTGAGGCGCCTCCAAACCAGCAGAGACTGAGAGGCTCTTTGTGCTGGCCCCAGTGGCGGACCTGCTGGGGTCGGCTCAAGCTGGGGGCGAAGAGGAGACACCCTCTTGGGTGTTTCACCAGGCGTTTGGCAAGGATGGAGTGCTGGGGTAAGCGTGGTGCGGTGAGGTTTGTTCTGAGGCTCTTGCAGGCTTTTTGTGCTCGCCCCTGTGGCGGACCTGCTGGGCTCTGTTTGGGTGCTCTTCAAGGGCGCTCTTCAAGGGTGCTCTACAAGGCATTTAGGGAGGCTGGGGTGCCCCAAATGCCGCGTGGAACACCCAGGAGGCTGGGTAAGGTGGGTGAGTGTTGCGCAAGGCGTTTCCAAGGTGGGTTGAAATCTCCTCAATGGGTGTAGGATGAAAGACAAGTGTTGGGATTCGAGTGGGGAGACGACCAGGTGCATGCACGTGCCCTCTCTTGATGCTGCAGGGTGTTTTTGAGAATTCTCAAAAACACCCTGTGGGATGAAAGACAAGTGTTGGGATTTCAGTGGGGAGACGACCAGGTGCATGCACGCGCCCTTTCTTGTGAAAGCATGTTGTTGTGGGACGTCTCGAAAAAAGATACTTTCTTGCATTGCCGAGGGGCAAGGGATGAGCAATGCAAGGCTTGGAGTGTAAGGGCTTAGTGGTGCGATGGCTTGGAGCAGCTACCTCCCTCTGAGGCACCTCAAAAGTCTTGTATTACCCGCAGTTTTTCTGGCTTGGAGCAGCTCCCTTCTTTCTCCTCTATGTTCCTTTACGTGTTCCTTGGTGTTTCGTACTATGTTCCATATTATGCTTCATAATGTGTTCGAAACACATTATGTTTTCTTACCCATCCCTCCATCCCTTCCGGTTCTTCGAATTCCAGCCTCTGGAAGAATCTGGGCGGAGAAGCAGCAGTGGGGGGAACGGACCTGAGGAGGGTAGTTCCCCTTTCCCAGCGCCTATTTAGAGGGCAGAGCGAGGGGAGGAAGGAAGAGGGGGAGGGTCCCTTGTGGGCGTGGGAGGGGCAGCAGCGGCCTCTGGTAATGGGTATTCTGAACATCACTCCTGATAGCTTTAGTGATGGGGGGAGATTCACCAGGGATGGGAATGACAGCGGCAGTGGCAGCGACGACAGAGGCAGCAGCAGCAGCAGCAGCAGCAGCAGCAGCAGCAGCAGCAGCAGCAGCAGCAGCAGCAGCAGCAGCAGCAGCAGCAGCAGCAGCAGCAGCAGCAGCAGCAGCAGCGGCGGCAGTAGCAGCAGCAGCAGCAGCAGCAGCAGCAGCAGCAGCGGCAGTAGCAGCAGCAGCAGCAGCGGCGGCGGCAGTGGCAGCAGCAGCAAAAACAACAACAGCAGTGTATGTGTGAATGTCGAGGCAGCAGCAAGAGAAGCAGAGAGAATGGTGGCGGAAGGAGCAGATATTATTGACATTGGAGGGCAGTCCACCAGGCCTGGAGCCATACGCTTGTCGACCAATGAGGAGCTGACACGTGTCATCCCTGTCATCCAGGCCGTCCGATCGCGATCGCCAGATGTGATCATCTCGGTGGACACTTTCGATGCAGAGGTTGCCAGGTCAGCAGCCGTAGCTGGCGCTGACGTCATCAATGATGTGTCGGGCGGCACGATGGATCCGCAGATGCTGCGGACGGTCGCCGCCCTGAATCTCCCGTTTGTCCTGATGCACATGCGGGGAGATCCGACCACCATGCAGTCTTCTGAAAACACGACGTACAAAGATCTTATTGCTGACGTGGCATCTGAGCTGACATGCCAGGTGGCCGTTGCTGAGAGGGCTGGGATTCCCTTGTGGAATATTATTCTGGACCCAGGCATTGGGTTTGCCAAAACAGGGCAGCAGAATCTGGAGCTAATCAGGAACCTCGGGCAGCTGAGAAAAGAATTGGGCAGGTGCAGGAAAGGTTTGGAGCATGTCCCGATGCTTCTCGGCCCTTCAAGAAAAGGGTTTTTGGGCAGGCTGACCGGCCGGGCAGCTGGAAAGGATCGCGACTGGGCGACATGTGGAGCTGTGGCAGCTTGTGTTGCTGGAGGGGCGGATGTTATAAGAGTGCATAGCGTTGCTGCTGGCCGAGATTCTTCTATTGTGGCAGCCGCTATTTTTAGGAACCCACTGTTTAGTTGTTGAGTCTGACTCCAAAGATAGTTTGTGTTGCTGGAGGGGTGGATCTTTTAGTAATTTAAGAGTGCATTATGTTGCTGATGGCGAAAATGCTTCTATTGCGGCAACTGTTATTTTCAGAAAGGTGGGGTTTCATGCTATGAGCAGCTAGGGTTGCATTGCGTTGTGGTGTTGTCTTCTCCCCTTGGAATTAGCCATTAGGGTGAGCATGAACAGAGAGACTAAAAAAATCTTGCCAATAAGGGTACGGGGTTGTCAAATGTTGTAGCCTGTAGTGAGGTTTGTCTTAGGGGGTACAGAAGTTAGGGTTTGTCATATGTACCCCAACCAACATCAATGCAACATCCATTCCTCATTCTGACATGGTATCAGCTAGGTTAGGATCCTGTGGGATCCCGTTCCTCCGTTCTCCGTTCGTACCTCCCGAGCCTGATCCTACCTCTCGTTCGTACTAGTTTAGTTGTTACCGCGCCTAGTACCGAGCCTAGCATCATCTCCCCCGTCGCGTCGCACCCGTTCCCCCCGTCGCGTCGCGCCCGTTCGCCCCGTCGCGTCGCGCCCGTTCCCCCCGTCGCGTCGCGCCCGTTCCCCCCGTCGCGTCGCGCCCGCCTGTTCCCCCCTGTCCCGTCGCGTCGCCCTGCCCTGTCCCGTCGCCCTGTCCCGTCGCGTCGCCCTGTCCCGTACCGTCGCCCTGTCCCGTCGCGTCGCCCTGTCCCGTCCCGTCGCGTCGCCCTGTCCCGTCGCGTCACCCTGTCCCGTCCCGTCGCGTCGCCCTGTCCCGTCCCGTCCCGTCCCGTCGCCCTGTCCCGTCGCGTCGCCCTACCCCGTCGCGTCGCCCTGCCCTGTCCCGTCGCCCTGCTCCGTCGCGCCGCCCTGCCCCGTCGCGTCGCCCTGTCCCGTCGCGTCGCCCTGCCCCGTCGCGTCGCTCCCGCCCTTTCCCCCCGTCGCGTCGCCCTCCCTAGGCCCTAGCCCGTCGCCCTCCCTAGGCCCTGGCCCGTCGCCCTCCCTAGGCTCTGGCCCGTCGCCCTACCCTAGGCCCTGGCCCGTTGCCCTACCCTACGTTTTGGCCCGTCGCCCTAGCCCGCTCTTCCGCTGCGACTGAGTCCTCTTTCCCCCCGGTTGTTACTCGCCTGTTCGTTCGCGTTGGTTCTCACTATGGCGACTCCGCGAGTTCTTCGTTTCGACGCTGACGGTAGACCCCTTGACTTTTCCGTCTGGCTTCTTCGCGCTCGTCGTCTGTTAGAGAGTCAGGTCCAGGGGAGCGAGACCCTCTGGTCACACGCTACTGGTGACCTCCCCGAGCCCCCCGAGCCTACCGCTTTAGGCCCTGCTCCTGACGACGCTGCTACGGCTCGCTTTGCCCGTCAGCGCGCTGACCGGACGGCTTGGACGTCGCGTGACGCTGCGGCCTGCATCGCACTCAGCAGCCTCCTCCCTGAGTCCGAGGAGGTCCACTTTACTCAGGTTCGCACCGCTGCTGCGTACCTCACTGCGATTAAGGCCCGCTACTCTACTCCCGCTACTGTCTCTCTCGGCCGTCTTTTCCTCCCGTTCCTGTTTCCTGATCTTGCCTCGTTTGAGCGCTCTGCTGACTTGATCGCTCACCTCCGCTCGCTCGACGCTAGTTACCGCGCTGCTTGCACTGAGGCACAGCTTGCACTGCTTCCTCCCCCCATGGCGATTACTGTCTATTTCATCGCCACTAGCCTCCCTGACCGCCTTGCCTCCGTTCGTGACGCGCTTCTGCTGAAGCACCCTAGTGAGCTGACTATCGAGGTCCTTGAGTCTGCACTCAAGGACGTCGAGAGCAACCTTCGTTCGGTAGCTGCCGCCTCTGGTACTGTGTCCCCCCCACTCTTCCACGGGTGCACAGTCCCGCAGTTACCCACCTTCACTGCCTCTCTTGCCACTGCCGCTACTGACGCGACTGCGGCTGCTGTTACGACTGCGTCGCGGTCCCGCGGCAGGGGGGGCAAGAAAGGTGGTTCCGGTGGAGGTGGAGGCGGAGGTAGCGGAGGTAGTGGGGGTGCTGTTGCGACTGGCGGTGGTGGGAGTGCAGCGTCTGGAGAGACCCCTCGTGCAGCGGCTGGTGACTCCACTGCACCTGCTGGTGGCGGCGACCCTCGAGCTCGTCAGTCGCCTCCTGTACTGCCGGCCCCGCGAGGTGGAGCAGCGGCGTGGTACCAGGCTCAGCGTCAGCAGCACCTTCGGCAGCAGCAGCAGCCCCTTTCCTCCCAGCAGCCTCAGCAGCAGCAGCGTCAGCAGCTGGCTCCGGGGTCGGGGCTGCGTCAGCCCCAGCGCGGTGCTGCTTACCCTCCCTGCCCCTACCAGGTTCAGACAGGTCCTCGTCGGGGCCACCCTTGTGGCCGCTTTCACCCCCCTGGTCAGTGCTTTGCTCAGCTCACTGACACGGTCCGGTTGACCTACGGGGTTGGCGGTCCTGCTCCTGACTGGCTTCCTCTGGTTCAGCGCCACGGCTCCGCTCTGTGGGGCATGTCTGCTGAGCAGTTAGTTGATCTGATTAGTGCTCCTCATGCTATGTATGCTGTTGTTGACTCTAGTGTTTCTGACTCTGTTTACTCTAGTGTTGTTAGCTTAGGTGCTAGTCTTGCTCAGTTGCCTGTTGCTAGTGTAGGTACTTGTGTAGACTCTAGACCAGCGACTACCTCAGAGGACGCTTCGCTGTCGTTCACACTGGACTCTGGAGCCTCCCACTGCTTCTTTCGGGACAGCACGACACTTACACCACTTCCTGCGCCTGTTTCTGTAGCGTTGGCTGATCCCACTACGGGACCAGTCACTGCACGTCACACTACCACTTTACCGTGTCCTGCTGCTCCCTCCGGGTCTCTCACTGGGTTTCACGTCCCCTCGTTCTCCCGGAACTTGGTGGGCGTGCGACCCCTCGTGAGTCAGCACGTGGGTGTGTGGTTTGAGCCTTCTGGAGAGACTGCGGTGTGTGTTGACGGAGACTCTTACCAGACTCTTGCTACCTTTACTGCTGAGCCGGGCTCGGGTCTCTACACTCTTCACACTGGCCCGCGTGCGCCGCAGCAGCAGCCGCAGCAGCAGCAGCAGCAGCCGCAGCAGCAGCAGCAGCAGCAGCAGCAGCAGCAGCAGCAGCACCAGCGGCCGCACCAGCAGCCCCCCCTACTGCCACTGCCCCCGGTTCCCCCCCCCGTTCGGGTCCCCGCGTCTCACCAGGTTGCTACGTCCCCCCAGGTGTCTGTGTCGTGTCAGGTTCCTACGTCTGTTCCAGTCGCTGCGTCGTGCTCCTGCCGGTCGCTTGCCCACCCCACCGTTCTGTGGCACCACCGGATGGGGCACCCGTCCCTTCCACGTCTGCGCGCTATGTCTAGTCAGCGTCTTGTCCTAGGCCTCCCACGTGTCTTGCCGTCGCTGCCGCCTTCGCCTGCGCCGCCGTGTCGTCCCTGCGTCGAGGGTAGGCTGCGCGCCACCCCTCACTCCTCCTCCCTTCGTCCGGCCACCGAGCCTTTTGAGACGCTTCACTTGGACGTCTGGGGCCCAGCCCCTCGTCTAGGCCCTGAGCGTGAGCGTTACTTTCTGGTGGTAGTTGACGACTTCTCCCGCTACACCACAGTGTTCCCTCTGGCGAAGAAGTCTGAGGTGACTTCTACGCTGATCAGGTGGTTGCTCACCACTGAGGACACTCGTGGTCGTCGTGTCAGCTGTCTCCACTCCGACCGTGGGGGTGAGTTTCGCTCCGGCATTCTCGCTGGATTCTGTCGCGAGCAGGGCATTCGTCAGTCCTGGACGCTTCCAGAGTCCCCACAGCAGAATGGGGTTGCTGAGCGCCGCATAGGCCTGGTCATGGAGATCGCCCGCACCTCCCTGACTCACGCCTGTGCCCCCCATTTTCTGTGGCCCTACGCGGTCAGGTACGCCGCGCACCAGCTGAACCTCTGGCCACGTGTCTCTCGACCAGAGGTTTCACCGACCAGTCTTTGGACAGGGTCCCCTGGTGTTGCGTCGCGGTTTCGTGTCTGGGGGTGCTTGGCTCTTGTCCGCGACACCTCCGCGGACAAGCTCTCGCCTCGTGCCGTCCCCTGTGTCTTCCTTGGTTTCCCTGAGGACTCCTCTGACTTCACCTTTTACCACCCTCCCTCTCACCGGTTCTTTGACTCCCGTGACGTCCGTTTCGAGGAGTCCACTCCGTACTACGTCAGGTACCCCAGTCGAGGTCTCCCGGTTCCTCCTCCCCCCCTCTTCCTGACTGCCGTTCCCCCTCCTGCTCCCCCGGTACAGCCTCCCCCACCTGGTCCAGCCCCGTCAGGTGTGTCCCAGGCTACCCCTCCTCCTTCGGTAGCCCCTCCGGTACAGCCTCCCTCCCCACAGTCCTCCTCGCAGCGTGCCGCTGGTGCTAGCTCTCGAGAGGTTGGTGCGGTGCCTGTTCCTGTACCGGTTTCTGGTTCTGGGGGTGCTGGAGTTGGAGCTGGAGTTGGAGCTGGAGTTGGCACTGGAGTTTCTGGTTCTGGGGGTGCTGGAGTTGGAGCTGGGGTTGGAGCTGGAGTTTCTGGTTCTGGAGTTGGAGCTGACCCGGTAGGTGCAGAGGACTCTTGTCGTCCGGGAGCTGGTGCTGGCCGCGCGGACACTGGGGGTGCTGCGTCTGGGGGTGAGGGTGCGCCTCCTTCGGGTTCAGGTGAGCCTGGTTCTGGAGCTGGTGTTAGTGCTGCCT